ATCCTGAGCAGAACACCAAAGGATTTAGCTACAAGCCTGCAGGAGTGGTAGATATGAATCATGATTTCTGTCTTTTTCTGTAGTCCTGTTGATTTCAGCTCATCCAGACAGGCAGGGGCTCTTCTAGTCAACAGGCAAGGGAGGCAACCACTTGGGGCCTGAGGTCAGTAGCCCCCCCCCCCCCCCCCAGGTCTTACAGAGTTTATGTGGGACCCCACATTTGACGCACTAGGTCACTCCAGACACTGGCATTAGAACAGCAAACAATAGCCCAAACACCATCATATTATTTTTGTAATTTATTGTAAGAAACTACTTTTTTTACATACTGTATTTTCAAATGAATGGGTGAAATATCCAATTTTAAACCCTTTTCTAATTTTATATGTTTTTGGAAGGAATCTCGCGACCCCCCCTAACAGTGTGAACCACTGGTTTAGACCACACCAGTGGCTCCGAGGTTTTTAATGACAGTAGGAAACCCTCCTAAGGTGGCCCCATCTGACAGCACTCACTCTTGTTCCATTATTGTTGTTTAAACTTGAGTTTTAAAAGAATGCTAATGTATGAAATCTGTAAAAACTTTCTAGTAAATGCTGACATTTCGTTATTTTTTGTTGGCGTCATGTTTATGACATAATGGTGATGGATGCTATAGTTGGAGGGGCCCCCACTGGGAATTCTTGCCTTGGTCCCCAACAGACTCTAGAATCACCTCTGCATCTAGAGAACCACATGCTCCTCTGCAGACTAAAGGCTGAAAGCCAGCCGGTCCTTCCCTCTCTTTTTTAACCATCACATAACGTTTTGAGCTACTATCAGGCTTCTCCGTACATCTGTAAGTTTCCTTGTGTGAATCTCTTTTTTTTGTTCACACATTGCTCGAATATATTCAAATGAGTGTGACTCACATGTGCTGCTGCCTTTGTAAATCTGATTCACTGAAGAGGGTGCCAGATTCGCTGGTGGGTGACAACCGTTATATAATTTGAATAGAAATTTGTGATAAGGATTGCACATTTTGAGCACCACCAGATGAATTTATTCAAGGGATGGTGTGTTCTCAAAGGCTTCTATTTTTTTGACCATATTGTCCCCCCCCCCCATCTTTACAAAAATGTGTAGAGAAAGCATCCAAACATTTTCTGCACAGTAAAGGATCGCATGTTTTTTAGGGCACTGGTGGTCTAGTGGTTAGTTCACGAGACTAATGTCCTCAAAGCATGCGGCCTGGGTTCAGACCTGTGGCTTCATTGCATGTCATTCTCCTATCTCTCTCTCTCACCACAGTTTCCAACTCTAACCCCTGTAATTCCTCTCCAAAAATCTTTATAATTAAAACAAGTTTTTTTCTCTTAGATTCCAAGAACTTTGGAATCCCAGAATTTTTTCCACAACCACCCCATGTGTTTTTTTTTAGAATCTGTAAATAAGAAGTTTCTGTAAAATCGTGAATGAGTTACACCATGAAAACAACCGCCAAACAACTGAAAAAGGCTGCCATGTGAATATGTTGAATAAAGAGCAGGTTGCTTCTGTCCATGAGAGTCTGGTGTATTTGTGTTTGGCAGAATATGTTATACAGTGAGTCGTTAATATGAATTATTAACACGTAAACCTAGGAGGATAGTGATTATTGTTGATATGTTCCAATGCAAATGAGACCACCTGGTGTATTATTGCTGCCAAACTCATTGATGGTGTGCAGTAGGACCAGGATTAACCCTGTCTGTTTATTACACCTTAGGGGTTACGGAGAAGCTAACAGCCCCAACAGTCTCTGATAGAGTACAAGCAGTGTGAGTCAGGTCAATGAAGGCGAGCAGGAAGTGGTGCTTAATGATAATCAACTCTAATGACTCTCTAAATCAAGGTTCACTCACTAATGCTACTCACATATTAAAGGACATGACTGCAGGGGCTCAGTTTGAATGACTACTGATGACAATAAAACCGTATCGTCACAATGAATACAAAATAGAACTCTTCTGACATCTAGTGGTGGAACGTAAAACTGCAGGGGAAGATGACGGTCTGAAGAAGGCGTCTACAAATTGGACAATTTTCCTATCTTTTCATTTGAATCTTTCACTGAACTTGTGAAATAATTTGCCTGAAATGAAAAAGATGCAGTCCAGGTTTCCCCAGTGTTCACAGTAGAAACAGTGTGCAGTGTAGTTAAATAAACCCGCATTTTGTTTGAAATCCTCTTCTGGATCATATCAGAGCTAAATATGGTCTTTTCTAGCTTGTTGCCGGAGTTTGCAAATGTGGAAACTTTTACAGAAAATCAGCAGATTCCTTAAGGCCGCCAACTTAATATATATTGGAAAAAACATGATCCTCCTGTGAATTTTAATAAGATTATGTGTCCACATTTTATGGTCATGTAAATATTGTTATGCTCATCATCTGACCTCATATGCACACTGCTTCATGTAAACACTGTAAAACTATTCATCTTTTGAATCATCCCATCTGTTACCTAATGTATGTGTTTATTTTATCTTTTGCACTACTCACTACTGCACTATCATCTTAATCAGGCTTGTAAATATGTTGTTTTACTGTTTCATGTTGGATGTTATTAGTATATAGAGAGCACAGCTTATTAAAGTCAAATTCCTTGAATATATAATAAGAATATGGCCAATAAAGCTGATTCTGATTCATTATTGAAAAGGCTGAAAATGTGGGTCACTGAATAACAGCAAAATATTGATCCATTTTTTCAAAGTTTATGACACATGATGTGAAGTGATTACATTATTCCCCCCGAATGTCCACTCTCTTTCGTCTAAAGCAGGGAAAGTGTTGTGGCTGAAAAGAGAAAGATTTTTATCAAACAGGACCTTTAAATCAAGCTCTCTCTCTCTCTCTCTCTCTCTCTCTCTCTCTCACTCTAAATCAGCTTGGCATTCATGGCTTATCCCTTTCCCTCCAAAAACAACGCCGAGTGAGTGAAGCTCAGCTGAGACAAAGACCAAAATAAAATGTCACAGCACACAAGCAGGTAAAGCACATTAACAGTAAGCCCAAAGTAAAGTTTCCAAACAACACATTTGCCATCTGCATCCTGGGAACTTTTCTGTCTGCGCTGACAGAGAACACTGTGGCATCGCATCCCTACTTCTATTTTTAAGCACAGTGCTCACCATGCAAACATTTAAAAGGCTATTCATAGCTTGTCGTATTCTTTTCGAGTCTATTCTTAGAACATGATCTGAATAAATGGCGGTGTGCTATACGTGTGTGGCTGGTCTAAGTTCCTGTTTCCTTCCCTCTTTAAAGCCCTGCTTGATGAGATGAGCCGGTTAGACTCTGACAATGGAAAAGTGGTGGAATGTTGTCCTGCAATGTTTTGTGGCTTGTTCTGACACACCTGTAATACACACACGCACAAAACAGGCTATACTCCTTGCCATTGGCAAATCATGACATGCTCAAGGTTGTGTAATAGCCTTTATATTTCAGTCCAACTTTTTCTCAAAAGAGAGAAAAATACTCAAGTTTCTTCCTGAAACAATAACTTACCAGAGAGGTCACCAAAAAGGAAAAGAGATAGGAGCCGTGTTTTGAATTAAAATCTTTATCCTTGGTGTTTACATTTCAATCAGGCATAAGTTTTGGTGTGTTTCCACCCAAGAGAAAAGGGTCTAATCAAGACTCACTGAAAACACACTGATTCGAAAAGTAAGCCAAGAACCACTTTGACCGTCTAGATGTGTTGCCACACCGAGCTAAAATAATCTCAATGCTCTGGGAAAGAAGTGACTGTCAAGCTCAAAATCACAACAGTGAGTCCAAATGTAAAACAGGGGAGAGTTTGTGGTGTAGACAGAACAGATCTAGCCTAAATTCTGAATTGGGGTGTCACCTGTGTACGCCTGCAGCGTCAAACAGGTGTGGCTTTAACAGCAGACGAACTTGTCTAATCATGAATCTTTACACCTTAGTGGGAAGCAGACAAATATGAGCTACAGAATCGCTCATTATTCAGCTCCTAGGACTAAAGTCTACTTGGTGCAGATAGTCTACCATCACTGTGATAGGCTAAGTATGTTATAACAAAAAAAAAAAAGGCCCAGCCTGTTGCACGTCTATCCTGAGAACAAAGTAGAAATAAGGCAGTTTGAATCAGGCCTGCACTGTTGTTGTTGTTGTTGTTGTAATATTACCTGGGTGACATTAGCGTAGTTTCTATCATACAAGTAAGGCAAGGCAAGGCAAGTTTATTTATATAGCACATTTCAACAACAAGGCAATTCAAAGTGCTTCACACAAGACATCAAAAAGCATCATGACAGAGGAAAGAAAAGAAACATTACATTTGTTCTGTTTTTCTTTTTGTTTTGTTCTGTTTTTCTTAATAGCTCGATTGGAGTATTTTTTGTATTGTCCGTTTATTTTATTTTATTGGATTTTGCATTTGTTAACGGTGAAGAATGGGGTAGGACTTGACAAGCCTAGGCTTCTTCCTATCCCTTTTCGAACGAGTCAAATGTGTATTATATTGAATTATTATTTTTATTTTCATTTTATACAGATTTGTATTTTTTTTTCATTTGTTTATTCATTTTCATCTATTTTTTAATCGTTTGAAATAAAGAAATAAATAAAAAATAATAAATAAATAGATTAAATAAAAATAAAATAAAAATCACTGGAATTATTAAATCTAAACATATGTTCAAAATTAAAATAATTCAAATGAAATTAATTGAAATAAATAAAGTAAAAAATATATTTTTTAAAAAGAGTTAAAAGTTACAGTGCACAGTTAAAAAAAATAAAAAATCTTATTAAAGCTGTTTAATGAAAGGCAGCCGCAAACAGGTGAGTCTTCAACCTGGATTTAAAAAGAGCTGCAGTTTTTTCGGGGTGTTTGCTCACAGATAAAGTAAAGAGGGGCTCCCTCCCTGGCAAGCAAAAAACAGCCTTGGTCACACCCTTATCTAGCTTTCCACCCTCCCGCTCTGCCCGCCATGTTCTCTGGAGGAGGAGGAGGAGGAGGAGGAGATACGTGTAGCTTGGCTTTAGCTGGATTAGCATTAGCAACACATAGCTTTGGCGGAGGCGCAACAAGCACTCAGAAAACGCCGAAAGAAGTGCTCTCTTTTTTTTTTGAGGTGGGGGTGTTTTTTCTTTGGACTTGGCTGAACTTGTGTGTGGGTTTTTTTTTTTGTCAGTGGACTTACAGTAGAACCTGACGGATCACAACAGATATACGGTAAGGCTTTCCAACACAGTCGAGTTGTTGTTTTTTTTTTCCCTCTCCGGGGTTTTTGTCCTGTAATCCGGCGATGTCTCCACCGAGCACCCGTCTTCAAATGCTAACTTAGCCTTAGCATGCTAAAGGGCTGTTTCTGGCACAGGGAAAGAAAAGTACGGGAGTGTTGAGCTCACTGGAATCATCCTGTAGCTGAATATCTCACATGGGCTTAACTGTGGAATCAAATAATGTAACCCCCCTTTTTGTTTTTTAGTGTGTCTTTGAGTCACTGAGGGATCAACAGTTGAGCTGCGGCGTCGCTAGCTCGGATCTAACTTTTTTTTTGTCGACCCCAAGTTTTGTCCTTTTTGATAAAAAACAAAAACATGTTAGTTTGGTGGACAGACAGCTGCGATTTAAACTCGTCTTTTTTAAGGGGGGGGGGGTTACAATGCGTGGTAATGAATACTTGTAAGGGCAAACTGTGGTTGTGTTAAACACTTTTTTTTATCCGACTTCAGCAGAGGTTTCTCAGTTAGCTTATTTTGGCTAACTGAGTGTAACTACTTTGCGCTGCACTTGTTATAACGATAGCGGTACCTGACTCTTCTCCAGGCCCGCTTCTCCTCTCAAGTATCACCTAACAAAGATTTCCACAACCGAATCAGGTGGTTTTAAGAATATTATTGTGGCAGTTTTTTCATGGCACAGAAACAATCGTTAGCCACAAAGCTATGTTAGCATCAGTAGAGGAAACGCCGTGATTTTTTTTGTGTATTTTTTTTTGTTAAGATGTTTGATTTGCTTTAGTTTCCTCTTTTGATTGCCTCAAAGTCGACGACTAACATTTTTAGGTTGTACTTCTGCAAGACATCCAGGTGCTTATTTTTTGTTTTAGTGCAATTCTTTCCAGTCTGTTTACTCATATCAGTCAGATAAGTCTGCACAATGTGTTTGGAGATAGATCCAGGGCTGTGACAAGGTTTCTTTATTTGTGTGTGTGTGTGTGTGTGTGTGTGAGAATATATGTTTTCAAATATGAAGTTTTCATTCAGAGCCACTTTGAGTCCACCTAAACGTGGCCTGAGATAAGGGCAGGGCTTTGTCTACAGCAGCAGGTTATCCTAACACACAATATGAATGAAAAACACAATATTAGCAAATCTAAACATAATATAATATTAAATACAAAGTAAATAAGTACTAGAAATATCAAAACTAAGAATGTGTATATATACAACAAGGATTTACCTAAGCATTACTCGTCTTAATTGGAAGATTAAATATGGAAGATTGAATGTAAATGTGCAAAAACAGTAGTAAATGGACAGTATTGACATAAGTTAGAAGTGCATGAGTGCAGACATATTATAAACAGAAACTATACAATATAACGGCGAGTAGACAGACAAATGAAGTGAACATGAGTGCAGGGATATGTACAGAACTGATGGGAATTTCGTCTCTTCGAAGTAAACCATATCACCTGGATCTGCTCACTTTAAAGACCCATCTCTATTACGTTTAAGTGACTTTCATTTAGCCGTACATTCTTGGTTTTATAAGTCAATCAAATCCAGAAATATTTTTGACCTGTGGATGTTTTCTGTGCTCACGTATCCCTCTGTTATGAGTGAATATTACTTGTATAATCATTCTGAGCCTTATCATTTGCCGTCTACCACACCTTTTCATTCACGTTGGTGTTAAATACTTATATTCAGAAGGCAAAGAAACAGACGGGGGCGCATTTGTACTCAGTCTGTCATATTAAGCAACAGATGCATCATCAACATCCTCTTCACTTCCCTGACTTGGTTTCTTGACCGACAAGGGAGGACAAAGCAGTGACGACGTGCCAATAAGAGGGTGTCTTATCTTCTTATCTGCAGTGCTTTAGGCTTGATGAACAGCATACCTTACCTCTAGAAATGTTAAGGCCATTTTAAGGCTTTTGGCAACACATGTTTACTATTCTTGGGTTAGTCTAGATAAGATTGGTAGTTTGGCTTTTAGGCAGTGACCTAAATATTCCAACAACAGGTGAAAGCCATGATAATTCTGTGGTTGAGCATTTTATTACTGATATGGTGCTTTTTTTTTTGTGACACACCAATGCAGCACAGAAGAAGAACATTGGTGGTGAAGGAACCAGCTGGATGCCTTAATGTCCCGCTGTTGCCCATCCCTCTCTTTCTAAGACACCATGAAACTGTCACACACACTCACTGTCACACACATACAGGCATTGTGCAAGCCGTCTATCTCCAGATCAGCTTTACTCTCTCTGTATGTAGGTCTGGCAAGGTAGACCTGTTCTTTGTGTGCTGCCTCTCAAGCCTTAAGCTAATCACAGTTTGCTGAGGTCCTGCCAAGACACACCCAGATACAGGCATAGGTATGTTGTGTTGTCTTTTTTGCACCTGACCATTCAACTGTGTGTAGTTCACGGTCCTCTTGACGGATCAGACCTCATGTTACACTGTTGAACCCTGACAAGGCAGATTCACTTAGGCCATATTAATCCTTATCATCCTCTATTATCAAACTCTTTACTGGCATCCCAACAATGCAAGCACTGCAACATCTGCTGTTTATTCTCGGCTGAGCAAGATTTGAACTTCTCCATTGATGTGGTTCTTTAAGATGTCTTTGTCTCGCTGATTATCTGTTTGGTTTTTCAAACTGTCATGTCAACAGATGATGCTACCATTTTTTTTTTTTTTTAAATCTATGTTGTTAACAAACCTGGACATTTAGGTATCACATTTTTTCTGTTGTTTTTGACATGCATGATAGGGCCGCTTTAGTATCCGCTCCAGTGGCTGCGATGTGCGAGCAATATGCATGAAACTATTGCTGAAATACACCACAGATGCAGAGATCAGCCTGCAGTTCTAGTCTATTTGCACCCATTTTTAGATGCCTCTCGAAAGGAAATGATTTACAGTTCAGCAAGGGGATTTCACCTGTTGATAAGGGCCACCAAAACACAAGGTGCATTCATACATTCTTGAAATAATTGTGCATTCTTGCTTTCTCTGGCTTTCTTCGTGCAAGAGGGTTTGCACTGGGCTCAGTTTTGTGGTTTTTTTCATGTGAAGTTACCCAAAGTGCATTGAAAACCTGGGTGTTTTTCTTTTGAAGCATAATTTAAAAATATTTTTTTTAAATCGTCAAAGATCCCAATATTCAATTTTAGTTCTGCTAATCCATTCCAGGACAGACATGATATGAAAATAATGTCATTTCCCCAGTGTCTTATTTGGTTGAAACTGAATCCCACGGTCGGTTTTAGTTTGTTTTTCTGATGTTGCACGTTATAGTTGCATTAAGATTCTCTTCCCTCACCTTCTGGCTGACTCTGGATTAAAGCCAACTCTTTGGTCACAACATACATGTGTGGTTTGTTGCGTAGTTGCAGGGGAATGTCAGAATTCTAGTCATGCAAAAGCGTCATCAGTCCCTTAGTGTTTTTGGTAATAAACACCACCATGCCAATTAAAGAAGTAGGTTAATTTATAGTGCTTGAAATAGAATATGCATGAAGATGTCTTTTACCTATTTCCTTTCCCTATACCAATAATAACAACAACTAGACTTACGCAGTGGTTGCTACTGAGTGCCCCCCAATACCAAAGTGATAAAATAAATGTATTTTGGTGGGGAAAAAATGCTGACATTTACAATGTTTGACTTACATTACACTTTCCACTAACACTACAGTGTTAATGTTTCTACTTAATTATCTGCGTGAAGTTGGGGTTAGCTGATTTGACGATGCAGCAGGACATTTGTGGTCAAAATTCACTGCCAGCGATTGGGAGGGGGTGATGACGTTTGACTTTTATATTCTGCGACTGCAGTGCAAGAGCTTTACATCATGTACTTCCTCCTGAGACCCCACTCACCGTCTGATAGGGTTAGCCTCCCACTGTTAGGTCGATGTGTGAACAAGCAAGCCACAACAATTTCAAAGGCAGCCTGCCTGAAGTTTCTAGAAATTTTTCAGGAGTGTATATGTGAAAACGGCTAGAGAGACTTGAGATGGACTCACACATTGACATGCAGAGAGCAGCAGATGATTGCTGTTTGGGTTCATCTAAAGCTGCAAAAAGTACACCCTGAACTAATAAGATGGCGTAATGGCAGTTTGACGAGAAAGACAGGCTCGGTCATTCACATATAATGAACCTGCATTTCTCTTCTCTGGGTCTTTTGGCCTGAGTGATTTAAGCACAGAGGCACTGAAGGAAGGCCGGCTGACAGAGTCTCATGGTGGGGGGTTGTTTCCGGGGGCGTAAAGGAGGTGTGGAGGGGACGGGATGGACGAGACAGACTCTCCTCTCTTCCTCCTGTCTGCCATGGGTGAATAGTTGATTATGGGAGCAGATGTGTCATTAGTTCTGAGACGTATTCATGCGGATGCAGGCCGAGGAGGAGGGTGGTGGCGGCGGCGGAGGAGCCTTAAGATGGGGGGGGGGGCCACTCTCCACAGGAATCACATTTCTTTAGTGAATTTAAGGGATGTGCAAATTTGTTGACTGACCCCCTCCACAGCATATATATCCTCACACTCCTCATTTCCTCACCTTTGTTATTCTTACCAGCTGTCTTGCCATGGCAAGAAGACTCCAGAAACAAACACATACATACCAAATTTAACCTTGAGTCACCTTTTACTCTGTTCCTCTCTTCATGAAAACACTTGGTTGTGGGGCCTGTCCATGCACGCTTGGTACAGGGATCAGATTACTCAACAGGGTAATTTATTGTGGGACTCCCTTAGCTTGCAGTCAGATGAGCACTAGGCACAGAAAGATGCCAGCAAACCGTAGCTGCTGATAACGTACAAAATATCACATTTCTGTTCATTTGCTTTTAATGTGAATGGGTGTATTAGTGCCAAGTTGGCTGAATAACAAAGCAAAGGAGTACCAGGATCAGTGTGGGCCTACAACACCAGCTGAATGTGGGGTCGGTCATTGGCTTATATGCCAGTCAGTGCACCAATCAGATACCGTAACAGATAGGGTATCGATGTGGAAATGTATATCCTCAACCCTGACTTGTGATACCATTATCGAAATGCTAGTAAATAAGAAATACAGCGCTTTAAAAATATTTTCCTGCCAATTTCCCCCATAGCATCACTACTATATGATCCCTCAGGGTTGCACTATTGACATGAATGTGGGTAACATAAATCAGAAGTTAATTGGCCAAAGAAGAAGTTGACAGTAGCATAAAAGAAGACGGCGAATAATGTCGGACAGCTGTGAAAAGAAGTGAAAGGATAAAGCACGATTGGAGAGGAAATGACGCCAAATTGTATGTCATCTGAAATTATAGGACTAACTTGCAGTAAATCATCACATCATCGCTGTATCGTGATCTCATTATCAGGGGTCACACATGGTCTTTGCCAGGGGTTCTCAACCTTCTTTGGCTTGTTACCCCACTTGGACTTCACAATACTCTGGTGACTCCAGACATCCAAAACACAGATTGTCGTAAAATATTTTTTCTTTTGTGTTATTGTAGACAGAGGAAGAAAGGCGTGGATGACATTTCTGCACAATGAATGACAGACAGATACTCTGAAACTGGCTTTGGCCTACAGTAGTGTGTATTCACTATTTTTTTTTTATATACACTATATTTTTTTATTGATCAATAAATACACATTTCAGGCGACCCCCATATGAATTCCAATGCGACCCCACGTGATCTAGACCTCAAGTACACATGGGGTTGGGACCCCATACATGCATATGTGTTCAATATCGGGATAAGAAGCTTTATAACACTTTAAGAATTTCATTTTGCAGCATAATAGACATTTTCTTTCCAGCCCATAAAAACACACACAGTTGTGCACTTTTGGTCATCAGATAAAAGCCAGAAAATAATACTCTGTTTTCATGACTTCATGTTGCATGTGAAACTGACTTCACGCTCAAGTGAGCTGTAGCTGTGTAGGTCGCACAGCTGTGAGTCTACACACACACACTCTTTCCGTACTTGTGTGTGTCGATGCTGAAGTGATTAGAGGCTGGGCTGCTGATCTGTTAGAACCGGGACAGAGGAGTCATCAGTCTGTCGTCACCAGACTGGAAATGGTCTTTCTCCCTGCCACCCACCCAGGACTGGAAACACATTGTTACTCAGTCATCGCTCTGTCCTCTTTCAGTATCGGATGTTAATTTATTCTAGTGGTGTGAAATTGAAATAAGTAAAGCTGGAGCTTAATAGCCTTCACATAGTCTTCCTAATCTCCCTTTTAACCTGATGATTAAGAAAAAATAATAATCTGGACATAATTATGAAAGATTGTACATTTTGAGAATATTAAGGTACGTTAGGTTGTATTTTGAATAACTGAAAGGACAGTGTAATGGAGTGTTTTTAAATCAATTTGATCTGATAAACTGGCTACTGAGTTAAGAGATGTTTTAACGGCAGTAGCTCAGTCTGGGAGGACTTGGGTTGGTAACGGGTTAAGTCCCAGTTCCGACCAATTCTGGAAATTGGTCTGGTAGCTGGAGAGGTGCCAGTCCACGTTCCTGTGCACGACCGATGTGCCCTTGAGCAAGGCACCAACCCATCACCTACAACCAGCTCAGGAGCGCTCGTGGGCAGCCCCCTCACTCTGACATCCCTTCTTTAGTGCTTGTCCATAGGATCCTGTTTGAAATTCCCCTTGCGGGATCAACAAAGCGTATCGTCTCACTTCTTCGTTTATTGATATTGTTGCTCTGAACCTGTAAAAATAACTCTTTCTCTTGTCATTGGTTTCCATGTTCTCAGTTCTCAGTAAAACTAAAATCTATGGTTCAGGTTACTTTCCGAAACACACGTTAGTGTCATTAATTACTTCAACACCATGTCATGTAATCTAGAATTGAGTCAGATTACTGTAAACATGGTTGAGATAAAAAAAAAAAAAAAAATAGTGGAAACACGATTCATCATGCTCACAACAGCCTGTCCCAGCCTCTTAAATAATGACGTCTGTACAAGTGCATGGATGGAAATGTCTTAGCGAAGTATGAGAGTATGAAACGCATTGTTTGTCTCGTTTCAAAAAGGAAGTCCGCTACAGCTGCTTTTAAAAATACAAGTTATCGTCACAATCTCATTGTTCAGGTGTTGAAAATGTGACTTATACCCAGAAGTCATATAATTTAAATCACAACATGGTTTAGCGTGTGAAGGAAAGGTGGAGCGAGGCGGACCTGAAGTTGACCGAGTGATTAATCAAACACTGAGCTTTTGACACTTGAAAATAAGGCGGTGTGTAAGTGTTGATCCTTAAGTTTGGCTTATTGCAGCAATTTAGCTCTTGTCTTTGTACGTAACCTTTCCTGAAACTCTTTTCCTTCCACTAATCTGTCATGTGTGTGTCTGTCCTAGGTGATGGCGTGGTCATGTGTGCAGCCGGGGCTGTGTGTGTGGAGATGGTTTTAACAGACGCTGTTTTGGAGGACTCAGGAACACTGCACTGGCCTGGAGAAGCCTCTTAAGCAAACACACGCAACACACACACCTGTACAGAAGAACATTTACACACACACACACCACTGCCGTGCCTTGAGAAAGGACACAGGCGCACAGAAGCAAGCAGGCACAGATTGCCCCCCCCCTACCTGTGTGAGAGTCTACGGTGTGTTTTTTTTTTTTTTTTGTCCGTCTGTCCCATCTCCACCGCCACCATGCCGAGCGGCATCCGGCGGCAGATGAAAAACATGGTGAACAACTACTCTGACGCAGAGAAGAAAGTCAGAGAGGCCACCTCCAACGACCCCTGGGGCCCGTCGTCCTCGCTCATGTCCGAGATCGCCGACCTCACCTACAACGTGGTGGCCTTCAGCGAGATCATGAGCATGATCTGGAAACGGCTCAACGACCACGGCAAGAACTGGCGCCACGTCTACAAGGCGCTCACCCTGCTCGACTATCTGATCAAGACGGGCTCCGAGCGGGTGGCGCTGCAGTGCAAGGAGAACATCTTCGCCATCCAGACGCTGAAGGACTTCCAGTACATTGACAGGGACGGCAAGGATCAGGGCATCAACGTCAGGGAGAAGAGCAAGCAGCTGGTGGTGCTACTGAAAGACGAGGACCGCCTCAAGGGAGAGAGGTGAGAGCTCTGGAAATGAAATATGAAGAGATACACAGTGTTTGAAAACGATAACAGACACTGGCGTCATCTCCTCTTGTAGAACATGACTAGTGCTCTTAATGTGTCACATTTAATCATAACTAACAGAGAAGAGAAACTGTGAATAAAATCTTATACATAGCTTTTTCCACTTTGATCAGTCTGTGGCTAGAAACTAAATAACATGATGTATCAACAGTTCAGATCATTCTGTGACCACAGTTACTTAAAGCAATGTCACATGAGAGCTAGAGCTGGTGTGATAATCATGTGTGTCCTGATAATTAAATTCAACAGCATGATGTCAAGTGTAACATTGTTTTTATACAACAACAGTTGCAGCACAAAAAATTAGAATATCCTGGACAAGATCTTTTTCTCAGGTAGTTTATTTGAAACTGTGAAACTTAAATTTAAGGGATATATGATCGTTGTTTTACTGTGTCACGTTCTTATTGGTTGAATCTATTGGCTGCCTACACTATGTTGCACTGCTGTGATTTAGTGATGTGTAAGGGTACGGTTTGGCTGTGGAAACACAAGTAAGATCAGGGTTTACCTTACCAAACCGTACCAGACTGTACTGAGCCAAACCGGACCGCTTGGTGAAAACGGGGCTTAATTTACTTTTTAACATCTCACTCACTCATTTGAATGGGATTGTACCTGAAGATTGACAGCCCTAATGTCTACCACTAGTCAGAAGTGCAAACAAACTAAGTGCACTTGAAATTGGCCATGTGTTTGTCAGGAATTCTCAAAGCTTGAGTTATTCAACCCAGTCTTCTGTGGTTTCATATGAAAGCTGAATAACTGAATTTATGTGAACAATTGTGTTAGAGATTATACATGCACTGGTCTTCTACTTCTGCAAGGGCTCCAAATTTGCTTTTATACCTTCTGCTTATTCTTTCCTTTTTTGATGCTACAACATAAGAGTCTTGACTTGAGCCAAGATTTCTCATATTCTATTTTGTGTTTTTTTTTTTTTTCCCTGCTAGGTCTCAGGCTCTGAAGACCAAAGAGCGCATGGCCCAGGTGTCCACAGGGAGCAGTCAGATGGGTTTTGGCCGAGGCTCATCTCAACCCAATCTCTCCACCTCATACAGCGAAGAGTACGGCAGGTCGGAGGGCTCACCTGCGTCCTATCACGGCTGTGAGTATGAGCTGATTGCTACCACACAAGCTGCACACACAGGACTTACACAGGTCTCGTTCTGCATGTTCAAACAACCCGTGTCATGCAGAATATTTTATATTGAACTTGCCGCGGGATCAATACGGTATCTATCTGTCCATCTATCTCATATATCTTGTCCTAGTTGTAACTTTGGCCTACATCCTAAAAGCCGCCCCTCCCCCTGCTCCGTCTCTGGCCTGTAGTCCCGCAGTAGGGCTGCATTCCTCAGCACACACACATACACACACACAGAAGAGGAAGCAGAGCAGATTCCCCCCCCCCCGAGCCTCTATCATCCACATGACAGAGGAATCTGCTCCTCTTTGCACTGATACACTCACTCCTCCAGAGAGACAGCAGGGGAGGCTTGCAGGAGCACACAGTGACAGAGAGATACAGCTAGACCGAGATAGCAATGACATATATCTGATAAAAAGAAAGTTAATGGGGAAAAAACATTTTCTGCTCCAATCTACACAACACACAAACCATGCACACACGCTAGCACGCACATACACAATCCTTCTAAAGCCCCTTTCACACATGCATTCCTGAAAGCTTCTACGAGATTTACTGTGTCAAAGCCATGTGTAATTGGATGTACATGCATGCAAACATTTTACTAGGCGGCTGGCAGGGCCAAAGTTGGGAATGAAAAATGTGTCCGTTTGCATTTACATGTAGCTCACTATGTCAAATTCGGGAAGCATTTTCAGGAGTTTTGTGCACGTGTAAAAACACCATCGCTGTCAGACGCACGACAGAAAATCAATGTTTAAAAGCGCTTTGAAAAGATAATAAAATCTTGAGGCGATTTCACTCCAGCAGGCAGTTTGTTTCGGAGAACAGCACCGTGGTGACTTACGCAACTTCATCAGATGAAGTTTCTATTCACATAAGTGATTCTGGAGATAAGTCTTAATTGCTAATGTGTTGGAAATAATCGAATTTGACAGAAAGGTGGAGTGTGAGAGTTGAAAGACACAGAATGTGGTAACACAGAGGGACGGAGTGGAAGAATGGAGTAGTTAAAATGAAAGAATGAACCTTGGGGCCTCCTTTCCTTTACATCCCCTGACCCCCGGTCCTTTGTACACTGCAGGGTGGATCTGTGTCTGTGTAGTTTCAGCCCGAATCTGTGTCACATCTCTGAACCTGTGGCTCCAAATTCTTGCATGCATGTTTTGCTTTAATGTGCGTCTCGGAGGAGGAAGCTCCTGCTGCTGAGTCGTTAGTTTAGATAACATAAAAAGGTAACCGGCCTATGGGAGCGAGGCCGGAGTGTCAATGTAGGCGTTGCCAGGCAGAATTTTTGGGATTCCAATCTCACTTATTGTCCAAACGGGGTGTGATGGAATGAGCATGAAAACGTTTTCTGTTAGTGTTGAAGTTCATAGCCCAAAGACTCTGAAAGGGTCTGAAACTAACTGAAATACACTTCATGACATTATTTTAATTGTCAAATATTCCACATTTTCGTTCTTCAGTTTTTATTTTGCTATACTGTTCCATCTCTGACGTAGAAAGATCAACATGTTTTGTCAAAGAGATTTAAAAACCATTTTTCTTTCTCTATATCATTTTATTTGGTTACTTTTCCAACTCAGTATTTCACTTCAGCTGTATGAAACTAGTATCTAACCCACACGCACCTGTGTGTCTGTTTACTTTCATTAACCTTTGTGTCTGTGGGTGTGCAAGGCCCTTCATCTGTATCCTTCAGCTGTACTTCCCCTGATGTTTTTGAGCCAATGGTACTTGTGTGTGGTTCAGTAATGCCTTTTCATGTTCTGAGTAAAAGTTGACATAGTTGAGTGTTTTCAAAGACGAGCTCAAGGTCAGTAAGTAGACTTTAAGAGATAGGATCCTAGTTCAGCAACGTACACGGGAGCACAGGCAAATATGAAGAATAGGAAAATGATTTTTGTTTGTCAAATCTTTCAAAGATTTAGTTTGTTTTGTCACTCAACAGGTTCCTAACAGCTTCTTGATTCGTTATCTATTGAGAGACAGAGTGTCTGCAAATGTGGTTCATACCCTGGAATAACAATTCTCAACATTATCGACTACATACATCTACCACAGATGACAACAGTGGCCATTAATACATTTCACTTTTTCCAAAGTGTTCTCTCTGTAATACGCTTAAGTGTGTTGGATTGTAGCGTACACTTGTTTTAAAAGCACCTCAGCTCATCAGCTTTATCAATAGGGTAGAAAGAAACAGGTCTAGACTGTACTCTTTGTTTTATTATCTACAAAGACTCAACAATAACAAAACAGAGAGAGACAAACAACAACAATAAATAAGATAGATTTATAGCTACAATGCCTTTTTATAATGGTAACAGTATGTGTGGAATAAGCAGGAACAACAATGTAAGATAACACTGATCATTTGCATGTTAGCATCAGTAACTATAATGATACAGAAATGAGGTCGGCTGAATTTTGCTCAGGGATTCTGATGAACCATAAATGGTATATTCCCACGGTGGCAGGCAAGAAAGAAGTGTGTTTGAGTTGGCTTTGAGTTTTGTTTATTGTCCTTGGGACATGCTGTTTTCACATTTTGTTCTGTGTGTCATTTCGTTGTCAGTTTAGTCTTTCTTGAGGCTCTGTGGTTTAAAACTGTTTCAAGATAGGTGGACGATGTGACTGTTTGAGAGAGGGGTTAAAGGCTGGTCTCAGCTTCACCCTGCCTGTTTCTAGATTGAGAGAAGGTTAGAATCAGCATTTCCTACATGGTGACCACCGTCGTTGGGCTTCAAAATTTCCCTTCAGTAAGCGATGGGTGATGTCACTGATTGTATCCAAGTTGAATACAGTCAATGAGAACTATACTTTTTCTCTGCGGACTGGCTCTGCCTCTTTATATACTGTAGTTTCTGTCTCTCTGGAGCTGGATCAATTTTACACAAAGAAACAAGTTTTGCAGGGTTACATTGTGTCTGCTTGTAGATGATGATTAAGGCAAGTCTATTGTCCCACCAGCTGGCCAAACTCGCCTTTACCCCGGGTACTTTGAAACACTTTCCCCTGGGACGGGTTAATCTAAAACATGGGTTTGAAAAGGAGCAAGTTTGGGCAGGAAAGCAGTTAAGACTTATCAGTTTTGTAGAAAATGCATGTTAATGTCTTCCTGGTTATGAGTCATGCAGAAATGTGTCTGCTATTTAGCTTCTCAAGTAGTCATTTAGCCTCCCCTTAAACTGTTAAAAGAAATGTAAGAGTGAGCTTTAAAGAGTTATTGATACTTTCTCGCTCTCTAATATCAACACCGTTATCGGCCCCAAAAATAACATATTGGTCGGGCCCTAATTGGCTCCCATCAAAGAAATAAGAATATTTACTCTGGTGTTCATTCATATCTCATTAACTTGACATCTTCGACATACAGTTGTTTTGACCAGGCGGGTCGATTTCTGTCAAAATGTTTGAAGTGACACAAGCCACCAGTGTTTTCCCTGTTTGTGTTAGTTATGTTGTTTTAGTCGCTGCTCTAGGGTCCTGCAATATATTTGTCTTGATCCATTTTGCATTCAGAATACCTAAAATGATGTGACATAATAAAGAAGATCAACATGACTTGATGAGCATTGCGTAATTGGAATTTGGGAGTGTCCACATAAGCCGCAGAGCATTTCGTGACTGGTCCTAGTTGTTTTTGGCGGCAGAGAAAGATGTGAAGAGTGGATATTTGTCAGGAGGAATGAAAAAAAAAAAGAAGAAGAATGAGAGGAATTGTCGAAGTTTAGATGAAAAGGAAAGTCTTGTTTGATTAACTTCTTTTAGGCACACCTTTCATAGTTATTGTTGGAAAGTCTTTAGTCAGAGACACGGGGGTTGGGGGGGGGGGGCTGCGGCTCAGTTGATAGAGTCAGTTGTCTCTCAATCGGAAGGTTGGGGGTTCGAGCCCAGCCCCTGCAGCTATAGGTGTGACATTTGGTGTTAAAGCGCTTTGAGTAGACGGTAAATTGACTTGTAGAGCGCTTTTGTATGCTTCCATCACTCACACACACACACACGCTCGAGGCTGGACGGCTGAGACATTGTGACGCAGACAAGGTGACATCACAGACAGAAAAGTCCAGAGTAGATGATGCGGTGATGTCAGTGTGCGTTACTTGGCATCAATTATTACACCACTAACACAGCAGTCACTTTTTTTAAATACACTATGAGTTTAAGAACACACCCTCACATACCTCAGTGAACAACTTGTATTGTATCTTTTACAATAAAAATAGGGGCAGGGAGGGGTGTGTGCGTGTGGGGTGGGGTTGTGTGTGTCTGTGTGCAGTATCTGTGTGTACGTCTGGGTGCCACATGTTCACATCTAATCCAATTAGCTGAATGAACCTGTCATCCTCCACAGGCTCTCTGAGGGCCTCTTCTGTGATGATGATGATGATGTCAGACTCCTTTATGTGATAATATGGATGTTTGTATGTGCTTTGGTTTAGCCCATTTGGCAGGGATGTTAACATGTGTTCTGTGTCGGTCCCTCAGCCACATCCCCAAACGCAGGTTCAGAACTGGAGCAGGCCAGACCTCAGACCAGCGGAGAGGAAGAGCTGCAGCTTCAACTTGCTCTAGCCATGAGCCGAGAGGCTGCAGAGCAGGTACATACACTCACAACACATGCTAACATGTTATTTGAACACCTCATTACCTTGGTTTATTTGTGCAAAGAAATCCACCTTTCAACTTTAATGAGAATAAAACCATTTTGACACGCGCAGAGTTGACCTGCTGGTCTAGTCTGCCAGAAGTAGTAGAAAAGAACCTGTGCTGAGATCGATCCACTTTGCTGTTTTGACTTTTAGTCCTTTCAATAAGGAGTTCTGAGCTGTTTTTGATTTTGTTGAGGATTCGGTGTTGCAGCTTTCTTTTTTTTTTGCACTTCTGATTGTGACGTTTACATGAAGCACTATATTCTGATCAGACTATGATTCTGAGTATCAGTGGTGCATATAGCAACTGTTTGGCACTATGCTCCGTTATCCTCATCAGCTATTGCTATATGACTTGTAAAGAATTGAATCGTATTAAATTGAAGTATTTGTATCGTAATGAATACAACCCACATTCCTGTGCTCTGGGTGTGTGTGTTAAGGAGGACCGCATCCGCAGAGGGGACGACCTGAGACTACAGATGGCCCTGGAGGAGAGTAAGAAAGGAGGCTCGGACTCTGCAAAACTACCCAAGAAGAAGAAAGAGGTAAAACACACAGAGTCTCGAGTGACTCAGTTATCCCATTGTTATCACCATGCTCCTGAAATAGTCTCGAGTCTCCTCGTCCTCGTCTGTGTCTGCTGCTTCAGGAGCAGAAATGAAACCTCTAACTGGCAGCAGGCTGCCTCATCGGCTCATCATTATTCTGCCTGAATAACGGGGCTGACTGCAGTCTGAGGACATGCAGAGCTAAAGTGATTCTGCGTTTCAGCTGCGTGACTATGGCTCATGTTTTTTTCTATAATGACAACTGTCAGTATGTATGAACTATTTTCATGCTGGAGAGAATAATGACCAACAGGCAGATTGTCCTTCCAGATGATCTTTTCTACTCTCCTATTTTGTCCCTTTTTTCCCCGCCTTCTTTCCACCCTGTCGCTCTCTGTCTTCCTAATCCTCTCTCTCTCCGTCTTCTAGCCTCAGTCGTCTTTGATGGACCTGATGGATGTCCCAGAGCCTGGGGCCACTGCTGATCCCTGGGGTGCTCGGGGTGCTGCTGCAGCGGCACCATCAGAGGACCCGTGGCAGCCTTATGGTAAACACACACACACACAGGGATGTATGCCCTCACTGGAAACGGTCACAAGGAGAGCTGCACAGAATGGTGAAATTATCAATAGTTTGATGATGATGATACAAGGTCTGTTGATTTCACATTTGATTGAAAAGAAACAAATCTCTGGAAACAAACAAGATGCAATCAGATCTTTAAGCCAAAGCTGTTGTAAGGAAAAGATGACTGGAAGTTGATTGAATAGAGCTGCTGCTGTTATTGAAAACAAAGCAGTGTATCAGATAGAGACTGCAAACTGTTATTTTCTGATTGTTTCACAACTGATATGATCTGTTATCATCTATCTATGATCTCTGTCTTTTCCTGCCTGCTCTGCCCTCTGTCACACAAGCAGCATTGAATATTCTTCTTGACACAGCAGACTGGTTTTTTTTCACATGACCTTTTTTTCATCTCGACACACGTCTTTTAGAGTTTGTCACACACAGAGAGAGACCAAGAAGATTGAATTTAGTGTTTCATGTAAGGAGGTTGGCTGGTAGCTACACAGCAACTTTCCATTGTGGATGAACAGAAATGTCCCAAACATAGTCGAAAAATAAGAAATTGGAGAGAGCAGATTCTCTGCAGATACACACTTATAGTAGATAATATGCAATTGTGAGGGAATATTTAAAGGTCACATATCGTCCTCATTTTAAACCAGTTTAGATAAGTCTCAGAGCTCCCTCAAACATGTCTGTGAAGTGTCTTGCTATAAATCCACTCTCCTATATGTATCATGCCTATAAACCCCTCTATTTCAGCCCTGCTCAGAACAGGCTGTTTCTGTGTCTGTAGCTTTAAATGCAAATGAGCTGTGTTTGACCACGCCTCCTCTCTGGAAGGGCTTGAATGGCTCGACTTTTTCGCACCATGCCCTATTTGTTTACGGTGAGAAGGCATACTCAGACGGCGGAACAAACACCTACCTGTGGGAGTGTCACCCACCTGGGGGAGGGGTTACTGCCCTTTGTGATGTCATGAAGGGAAAACCTCCAAACAGCCTGTTTGCGCACACATTTTGAAGAGTGGAGCAGGCAAAAGACGGAGAGGACTTTTCTCATAATTGGGGGTTTGTAGACAGACTATGGACACATATTAGTGTTAGAAAAATATGATCAGGTGTCTTTTTTTCACAATATGTGACCTTTAATAGAAGTGTAGTCTTAAAGGAGTCTGCTACAGACTGTTTTTCAATGGAATTGAGATATTATACTTAAATTTAGGTTAAGATGTTTCAGGTAATTGCTACTCATTTTGCCTTAAATTTTATGAACAATTCAAATGTGTGGGAGTGTGTTCGAGCGCTGTGTGTATGTTATTAAAAACAGGATTAGGTGTCTAGGATTTCCGTTCTTAAAACATGTACTCATAATTTGTGTTTTTTTTCAGTATGGTCGTGGAGTTTAAAATTCAGATTTAGTGACTAATCCTAGTATACACACACTGACTGTCTTTGTTGCGCAGTATCTGTGTGAGCAGTCTCTTTTTTCTCTGTTTTTGTTGTTTGTGTGTGTGCATGATGTCTCGGCCCTCCACCTGCAGCTCGTAGGACTGTGACTCTTTGTGAAATAGGAATGCTGCTCCACTTGCCCAGCAGCATTACTGCACAGAGAGGAGAGGAGAGGAGAGGAGAGGAGAGGAGGGTGGGGTGGGTGGGTGGGGGGGATGTTAAAGGAAGATGTGGTGAAGAAAAAGTAGTGTGCTGAGAAAGGAAGAAGCTGTCGGGAGATATAGAAGAACTTCAACTCAGAATGGCTCATATCAAATGCATGCTTGCTATTTTGCCTCTATCCTGCTGTCTTCCTCTTCCTCGGCCTCCTCCTCTGCCACTTCCTCCTCTTCATTTCCAATCTGAATCCATGCAAACCTCCCACCCCCTCCCCAACGATGAACCTCTCCCCTGCTTCCCCCAGGGTCTGCCCCTAAGCCAGCTGCCCCAGTGGACCCATGGGGCGCTTCTCCTTCTGTCCCACCCATGAAGAGCACTGATCCCTGGGCATCAAACTCCGCTCCTGCTTCTGATCCCTGGAGCTCTGCTGCCGCCCGCCCTAAGACTTCGAACGCAGGTGACCACCAGGGAGATGTCATCATCAGTCAATCGTTAGGGCCTTTACAAAAATGTACCACCACAACTTTACCTCCACACAGAAAAGATTGAAATAGAGATCTGTTGTTTGCATGCTTTCACTTGCTTATTGTATTCATCTCCCCCTTTTTAGTTTACCAATGAATCCACACTCATTCACGCTTGTGTTGTCTGTTTCCATCCGTCTAAATGTCTTTATTTGGTTGTGTTTTTTTTTTTTTGTCTGTGTGTATGCGTTGTCCCCTTTCAGGTAGCTTTGACCTGTTCAATGCATCCAACGGTACGTCTAAAGAGGACTTCTCTGAGTTTGACAGCCTGCGCTCCTCCTCCTCTGTCCCCACTGGTACTCACCCTTGTCTTCGTCTCTCTCTCTAATAATGACACGGAGTCTGTGTTTCTTTGTTTTTGTCCCCCTCCCCCCCCCTCCTCAAGTGTCTGAAATAGTTACCCGTCTGCAAAATAGAAGTTTCAGCGGGGGCCACAGACACGTGACACATTGTCTTGTCTATTTTTTATGTAGATGTCACCAGACGTGAGCAAAGACTTTTAAACAGCAGGAGTGTTGATGCCATCACATGCTGCAGGAAATCACACTGAATTGAAAAAAAAATAAAGAAGGTGTTTGCTCCAGTCTGGTCCCATATCAGTGTGGTGTACTCTAATGCTGCATTTAATGTATGTGGTTAAACAATATTAGACCTGTACCATCCAGTTTATTGAATCCCTCCGCTGTGATCTAAAAAAAAAAAAAAAAATCACTCAAAGGGTTCCAGTGAACAGTCTGGCACAGGTTTTAAGTGTTTTTTTTTCCCTTACACGTGGTGAGGTTGGCTCTTGGGGTTGGGAGGGGGACACTGGCGTCTGGAGTTTTTCTTCCAGTTTAACACAAACATTTCTGATATATTCAAAGTAACAAGGAACAAAAACAAGCGTACAAAGTCAGTCAATCTTTTGCTGATGCCCTTGTTACTTTAGTACAGGCTTTACATGAGCATTAAGCTTTAGTAATTAGGATATTTCTGATAGCCATACCAGTATCGTAAATGCTTCCAAACCTGTCTAAAAAGCAGGATCAGACATGAAGATATACTGACATGATAAACACTGATCACTTAACTTAATTTAACCTGAATAAAATCCATGTTTGACCCAAAATCGATCCCTAGTCTCTCCAAAACAGTAGCCGACACAGCAAGCTGAGCTTTACTCCCTTCATAACCGTGTCATGGTTGTAACTGGTGACCACTTTCCGACTGCAGTGCTAGCAGGAAATGTTCAATTTAACAATTAAACGTTTAAAAAAAAAAAATCTGTTTCTTTAACTCTTCAGAAGAAACAAGAGCAGCAGGTCTGAGGCGCTCCAAACTCAAGCTTGACGTTTTGCCGTCTTCCATTGTTTATCATCCCTGAGGTGTTTCATCCTCTTCAAAACAAATGTAAACAGATGTTAAAAAAAATCAGCGTCCCTGCAGAACAAAGTGAGAGATTTGTGTCAAACAAATTTCCACCATGCAGAGTAGCGATGGATTCCTTTTTTCCATTTGATTAGCCTCATTGTTTTGGCTTTGCTACATCTCAGTTTTGGTTTGGACGAGACCGTTCCCTCCTTTGACATTCTGTGTGTGTGTTTGTGTGTGTGTGGCAGCTGGCATGCCAGGTTTGTGAGTGTCCCTGTGCGAGTGCATTAATGAATGTCTCTACTGCCGTCTAACTGCTGCTAGAAAAAACAGCCAGACTGTCTGGCTCTGATGTGCTCTCAGAAAAGCATCCTCTGATCATTTTATTGCATCAACTCTTCTTAATTTCCCGGTGACTGTGGATGCTCACGTATCTGTGGGTGCTGCGTTTGGTTGTACTGACATGCTAGTGACAAATCAGCATAATATGACACTCATATTTTCAATACCCACGGAAAGTCGGCGCTCATTTCTGAGATGTAATGACGCCTTCAGGTGACAGCTATGTTGGCAACACTCTTTCTATGTATGCAAGAAGTCTCAGTGTTCTAACATTTCTGTCTCCTCAAAGAGATTTTCAGTTCCAGCTACTCATCGGTGAAATACAACCGCTCTCTGTTCTTAGGTGAAGGGGCCATAGCGTCCTCAATCCCCTCCCAAGTCAGTCTCGCCAGCAGCGGCAGCCTGGACCTCTTCGACCCACTGCCCTCCTCCATGTCCAGCATCACAAACCCGACCAGAAAGACTCCGGAGTCCTTCCTGGGTCCCAACGCTGCCCTGGTCAATCTGGACTCTCTGGTGACCAAACCAGCCCAACCCGCGCCCATCATCAATCCGTTCTTGGGTTCCACTGGTGCGCAAGATGGTATGTTAGAGTATCTTATCTAATATTAACCTTTTTTAAAAAACTAAATGCAAAGACTGGCTACTTTAAGGAGGTAAATTAAGGAATACAGGATAACACAAGTATAGATACAATAAAGAAGAAGTGTGCAAGCCTAGCCTGGGAGACTCACTTATCTGCACAGTGAAATGCTGAATCATCGCTCTTGCGTTGTCTTGTTGAGCTTGAATTTGGAAATTGCCAATATAATAATAGAAGTGTTAATCTGGAGCCAGAGTCCTGTAGCTGTAATTCTTTACCCGTCTCTACCCAGGTGGCTCTGCTCCAGCTCAAGCAGCCCAAGCCAACCCATTCCAGCTGAGCCAGCCTGCACCTCCCACCCTCAACCAGATGCGGGTCAGCCCCATGCTCTCTGCCTTTGGCGGCATGGCCGAGCCGATGAACCTGGCCTCCTTGCCCGCTCAGCCCATCAGTATGGTCCCCCTGGCAGGCATGGCCCCCATGGGTCGCTCGATGCCTGGGATGGGCGCTGTCGGAGCCAACGCCGGGATGACTGCGGGGATCCCAGCCTCCATGTCCATGCCGCAGCCCCTGATGAGCCTGCCGCCACAGGCCGGGACGCAGCCCACTGGAACCACCAACCCCTTCCTTTTGTGAGGGCGGGGAAACTTGCACCAGAGTACACCCCGCACCCCCCCCCCCCTTTTTTTTTTTTGTTTTACCTTCTTTTTCTTTCTCTCTCTTCAACTTTGGCTCCTCAAGAAGCTTCAGAATAAACAAGGAGATGTCTTATCCCATTTCTTACACCATAACCAACTCCTCACCAGGTCCTTGTCCTGGCCTGGCCTCCTCCTACCTTAACACACTCCCTTACTCCTCCCTCTCGTCTTCTCTAAATGCTACAAGCTGCCTAGTGCTGTGTGTTCCATACTGATCTGACAATGACGTTGATGACCACAAACGGTTTGCATCTGTCTACAGACTTACAGAGACACCGTGGTGTTTACAGTTTTTTTTTTTTTTTTCTCCCCCCACAGAGGCGAGAAAAGGGCACAGTCTCTCCTCCCTGTCCTGCTCACATTCACTCGCCCCCTCTCCCTCACTTCTCCCGTCTAGGATTGCTCCTTTCTTTTTTTTTTTCCCCCCTCTTCTTCTATGGTGGGGGGACAGGAGATTTTGACTGTACTAACGCCAGGATCTTTATCTCTTCACTAGAGCTAATCTTTTATAAGCCCTGTCAGCTGGTTTGTGTGTGTTTGTGTGTGTGTGTTTGTCTGGGAGCAAGCGAGTGCACATCTCAGTACTTTTACACTGTGTATATTCCAGTGGGTTTCACTCACACACACTGGAGTAAGAATGAGAGATGGACAGATGTGTTTTTACTCTTGGTGTGTGTGTGTGTGTGTGTGTGTGAACGTGTGTGTAACTAAGCAGGGATTTTGCACAATTTCTTTCTCCTATTTTCTTCTTTCCTTCTGCGACTGTTGGGCTCACCGTTACACCTTAGCTAAGGGAGGGAGACGACCACACCGCCTCTGCTCTTGGTACCACTCAGTCACAACTCTCGCTTGGTCAATTCCCGTCAACTTGGACCCTCTTTTTTTTTTTTTTTGTGCCCGTCCCTCCACAGGAACTTCAACCAAGCAGGGGGTTTGCGGGATAGACTATGAACATTATCAGAGGAGAAAAACCCCTTGAACAAGGGGTTGCAAGCAAACGCAATTTTTGTTTGTATGTCTGTATGTGCTCATGCACTGTGCAGCAGGCATACTGTTAATGCTCAGATACTAACAGCTACATGTTGGTGTCTCTGTCAGTGAGTCCTCCCCCCCCCCCCCCCCCCAAGTGTGAGTTAAGAGGAAAAAGACATGAACTGTGACGGCATCACTATTTAGCCAGCTGAACATAAGGATGCAGAAAGGCATCATGGGACAGTTTTTTTTGTTTAGTTTGTTTCTAGGTTCAAAGGGAAAGAGGGTGGGCTGTGTGTGGGTCTGAGTGTTTGCGTGAGAGATACGTTTAGCTTCCAAGTGTACTTTAATGAGAAAGTGTTTCAGTCACTCCACAAGTGGGGAAACAAAAAAAAAAAAAAAAGCAATTTAAGTTTCTGAAGAGCGAGTCAAAACGGGCGTTATGTAGACATCCGCAGCCTTAACTGTGTATGCGTGTGCAACCATATACAATCACAGTGTTCCTATGGTTTAAAGAGCATGTTAGCCACTCGGCACCATGAGCAGAGTTTTACCTCTGAGTGGATTTACGGGGCTAATCTCTCGACAAGAACATTATCTGGCACACACATATACTCACACGGGGTTATTCCAGTATCGGTCTTTTGATAGCACAGGGAATCCTGCAGCAGAACACAGCTGAACATGTCATGTAAACAAGCAGTTGTTTATTTTGTTACTATTTTTGGTGTTATTTACACATTAGATGTAAATCCAAGCCTTTTTTCTTTTCTTTTAGCGTTTTGGGGCTGTGTAATAGCTAAGCCATGTATCATTGTCGATCTCTTTTTACGCGTTTCCTTTTTTGTTATTGTTTTTTTTTTTTCACCCTGGGTTAGGCTTTTGTCATTCTCTTCTCTTTAGAAGCACAACTCTTACCAAAGTCATAGCGACTGTGATTTCTGAGGATGTCATAATTGGAATAGTTTTGTTAATGAAAATTCATGACTCCATTGTTAAAATTTAGTTTTTTTAAATATGTATTTTCAGAGCCCTTTGTGCAGAAGGTCATGGAGGAAAGTGTTACTTTTGGAACATTTAGATATCAGAACATTTACTGACAACAAGCTAAAATTTTGGTGGGTTGGTTAAATACAGACGATAAACTGTGCCCGGTGCAGACCGCTCTTCTCTGTAGCCCGCTCTCTTCAGCTGTGATTATCACTGCCAATGTTATTACTGTGGAGGTTTTTTTTTCCTTCTTCTTTTGGTTTGAGTTGACGCCCTCTCCTGGTGTACTGTGGTATTGTAGCTACATTGCGGGACCCATGATATTTCCACTAAACGCAGACCTTCATTTCTCTCAGGCAAAAGGAGGGGCAGCTCCATCTGTGTGTATGATTTTGATGATGCTGATGAAGATGACTTTTATGCTGGGGAAAGGGGGGGGGGAGGTGGTAAATGGACGTGACACTGACTTGCAAACCAGCATACATTTTTATCTCAACTAAATATATGCAAATATTGGCGTTTGGAAAAAGAAAAAAGATCGTCAACGCTTGATGTGTTTTGCAAGGTTAGATTTGCTAATAAATGTCGTGCTAATTGAAATGCTACTATGATTTCTGGCTAAGACACACGTCACTCTCTCACTGGCCTTGATTTCACTCCAGTGATTGTTGAAAAGGTTGAGGTAGCGATGCATTGAAAGGAAAAAAAAAAAAAAGGTTGAAACTTTTACTGTCTCTAAAACAAACTCAGCACTCCTAAGCCGTCAGATGACACTGAAGTCAAACAGTTTTTCACAGTCGTTGCTATGGTGCAGTGAAATGTGGCCTGTGTAGCGAGCTCCTCTGCGTGTCTCCATGTATTTGCTATGCTTTTATCACGAGGACTAACTGACCTGATGGACTGTCCGTCTTTATATGCATAAACAGCCTCCTCTAATCTTTTCCACGTCTGTCTATTTACCCTTCTCATAGTACTGGGAGCAGGCTGCTTTTTTTATTGGATACATGCTCAACCTGTTGGCATTATAACTGTATAATATAATTTATCATTTGTACTATTGTAACATACTGTTCCTCTGTATACCTTATTATTCTGTGTAATGGGTTTTTGTAGGAAAAGTCACCGTGGTATTTTAACGGCATCTAAACAAATGAACGCAGCAGGCCACACCCTGTTGGATGAGGACGACTGTAGCTGCATCGGTTCAAAAATAAAATGTGTATCACTTCAGCTCTGTAACTCCAGTGTGCGTGTGTTCTTGTATTTGTTGTTGTTGCTCAGTTTATTCAGCTAAGTCCACAGTTATTTAAAAAAAAGTTAAGTAAAACAAGTTCAAGAACAAAGAAATAAACCAAACTGCTGATTTTGAAATAATCTTAAAGTGACAAGATACTTTTTAGTTTCTTCCACTCATTTCCATTCAAACACATACATTAAAAAGCCATTCATGAATCTAAAACTAGAGTAGTGTTCTTGTTTTGGTCTAAAAACAAAAACAAAGAGTCCTTGATGGGGAATAAAAAAAGTAGAAAAATAAGCAAGTTGTGTTAAAAGCAGTCTTTTGACTTTGTGTTATTGATCCTCTGTCGACCAGCCGGATGTGACCGATTGTGTGTTAGCAGGGCTCGATGGTCCTGTGTCGTAGCCGAGTTTCTTCATGTCTTTAGTCATGATGTGAAAGGAGACGTTGACGAAGCCTTGGGAGCGAACACGCGTCACTGCAACACAATAATTCAGAATGTATGAATGTATCAGTCTTCAAGCATAAAAAGGACAAATCATAAATTTATGTAATGTTATTACAATCTATAGGAACTGAAGTTGGTTGTTCATTAAAATGATCACGGAATTTACCCAAATAAATGAAACTTTCACCGTCTGTGCTGATGTCACAAAAAGTACACTCAGCACTGTTCTCAAAGTTCCACTCACTAAGAGATCAGAATAAACAGACTCATGGGTCACATGTCTTTTCAAGGTAGTTCAGTTCTGCTGCTCCAGGTCAGCCTCTAAATGAGCCCCTGTCTTACGAGCGGCTCCTCTTGTAAATGCCTGGCTAAAGAAGTTAACCTCAAGTGTAAACACACATTCTCTTGATAGACAAGGTGAGAACCACTGTGGCGCAAATCTTCAAAAGACAGAGGGGGAAAAAAGAAACTGTCAAAACAAACCTTCTCTGCCTTCACCCTGAGCCACTGCTTTGGGGTCTGTGTACTCAGGCCGCCGTCCCAACAGCCAGCTGAAAGGAAGGACAGGAAACAGGTTAAATGAAGCTTCTGATACAGTATTTATAGCACATTGTATACACACGAGTTGGACTGATGTGTTTTGTCAGTCTTGTTCTGTTTCTGATCAGCTATAACTTTTATATAACATACAGCCTAAGCATTGAACATACTGCTTACTAAAATGTCATGAAATATTCATTCAACCAAATGTGAAATGCCTTTCAGATGCTGTATGAAATGACTTCAATGAAAGTCCTCTGTTGCACAAATAATTGGCTGTATTATCGCTCATGTAAAGTGAAGGAAAACTAGATTTAGTGCGTGAGAAAAAAACAAAAACAAACAACACCCAATTGTTACACAACTTGTAACACGTTTCCCATTTCAGGTGGAAAAAAGCAGAAAAAGATGCAAATGTTGCTTTTTAAAATGCTAATCTAAAGATCCACATGTGACCTCCATATATCTAATGTTGAAATTAACTCTGTGTGTCTTTCATAGAAAACAGCAGCTGTCAACAATGCATGCTGATGTGGAGGATTCTCTTCTCCAATGCCTAACACTACATCCTTAGTAGAACTCTCAAACACACCCACAGCAGAGCAGTAAATATTTGATCATGCTCAGAGATCGGCTGCCGCCTCCCCCCAGCAGGTTCCACAGCTTCTGAGACAGAAAACTAAACAGACGAGCACAACACTGTTCACGTCTCACCTTGTGAATTTCTGAAGCCTCCACGTGGGCTCGGGAACAAACATGGGGATGGTTTTTGAATGTCTGAGATATAAAAAAAAAAAAAATCATAGCAGGTTATCTTCAAACAGATATGAAACAAGAAGAGCTCCATAGAAACACAATTAATATTTAATGAATATTTTTAAGCTTTGTTTTTGACAGTTAAACGAGCAATACGCACATGGGTTAGGCAAGAATGTGAAAACATTAATTACAATAACTAATCAAATGAAATGTGACGCCTTGGATATGGTTTTAAAAAAAAGATGGAGGGTATACTGACTGTCCCGGTGTGAAGGGGATGTGTGTTGCTCCGTAGCCCCTGACCACATCGTTGCCAAACACATCTGGACCGTATACACTCACCACAAGCTGAGGCCCTGAGGAATGAAAATGCAGTCTTCTTTTTATGATACTGATGTTTCAGACTGTCACAGTGCATCACAACAACCAATATGTTTTTTGTCTGCATGTTTAATACTCACATCCAGAGGGGTTTGTGCTCTTAAATGTCGTCTCCAGGGGAAAGTTCCAGATTAATTTATTTGAAGACTGACTGCCTTTACAGGTTATTTGAGTGATACCTTCTTCCAATCCCTTGAGGGAAACAGATACAAAGACATTTTCAGTATCATAACAACCAGACGTCTTCTTAAATTCCCAGGGAACAACTTATGGAACCGTGCTAGCGTATATTACTGCACCACGGTTGAAATTTATAGACAGCATCACTATTAGACATAAATTGCAAGGATATCCGTATTGACTTTAAAACGTGATTTCAAATTGAACATGATCATTCGCCCATTATTAGCGGACTTCATCCCTACTATGAGGTTATTTCAGAATTATTGGGAAAAAAAAAAAAATTTAATTGAGAAAGTTTATGTCTGAAGTACAGGGAAAGTTGTAAAAAGTTCAAACTAGTTAATATTAATAATAATAATAATAATAATAATATATTGTTTTTTTATAGCGCTTTTGTAGGAACCCAAAGACGCTTTGACAAAATATAAAACCATAAAACAAAACAAAAAACGACGAGGACAGTACAATAAAGAAGTAATGTAGGGGGAGGGGAGGGGGGAGTTAGTGGTTGTAGGCAATTTTGTGAGTTTTGAGGGATTTCTTGAAGGAGGTGAGTGTGGGGGAGTCTCTGATGTTTTTTGGGAGTGAGTTCCAGAGGGTGGGAGCAGACTTGTGTAACTTGTGTAAATCAGTATAGTGATACAACAGAAAACTTTTAAGTACTTGGTCTTTTTCGATTCTCAGATTTTTTTTGAAATTTTCAAAATCCAAAACAAAAAAACGCCAACCAGAATTTACATTTTTAGACACTTCAAATCCATTATTACCCCTTTACCTTTTCTGAAGATTATTTCCTTTTTGATATAGATGGAAATGGAAATAACAGGAGCAGAATGTACTGTTTCATACTGAAACATTTAGAAGTGACACAAAATACAACAACTGGTATTCCCAGGATGACTATCCATCGACAGTCAGATCCTGAATGTTTAGAATAATTTAGCTTCATATCGGGGAGGGGGACCAGGAGGTTTGCATCTGCAGACCTGAGAGTGCGGGTGGGAGTGTGTCGGTGCAGGAGGTGAGACAGGTAGGGGGGAGGAGCCAGGTTGTGAAGGGCTTTGAAGGTGATGATGAGGAGTTTGAAGTTGATACGCTGGGGGGATGGGGAGCCAGTGGAGGTCATGAAGGACGGGGGGGTGATGTGGTCTCTGGTGCGGGAGTGTGTGAGGAGACGGGCTGCAGAGTTCTGAATGTATTGGAGTTTCTTGAGTGAGTGTGATGGTGATCCGTAGAGGAGACTGTTGCAATAGTCTATTCTGGAGGTAATGAATGCGTGGGTGAGGGTCTCGGCAGCTGAAAATGAGAGGGATGGGCGGAGGCGGGCGATGTTTCTGAGGTGGAAAAAGGCTGTTTTGGTGATATGTTTGATGTGTTTGATGTGTTTGTCGTAGGAGAGGGTTTGGTCCAAGATGACACCAAGGTGACGGATGTGGGGGGGGGGGAAGGTTGCCAGTTTTGACGTCACATTGCACAAACAAAAACCATGGCGGGTTAACGTAAACATTGGTGAGGGCGTTCAAAAGTGTGTTTACTTATATTAATGTATCGCAGTATCATTTCTGGCTTGTGAGTTCGTTGTATGAACCTGAGATTAGTCCTTGGTAATTAAAAAAACACTGATTTATTAGTAAGGTGCGTGCTATTTCCGGACAGCTCTTGAACACACCTGAGGGGTCCGAGCAGCAGGTGAACGCATCACACATGTAGCCCCCTCACTTAATACTCACCGAAGTGGGAGCCCAGTCGTGTCCGTAGACGAAACAGTATTTACAGTACAAGTTGTCATACTCCGGAAACTGAAAAACACAAACAAACAACACATATCGACTTTTCACCTCGGAGTAAATAAAAACACGAGCTCGATATTGAGAAAAGGTGTAACTGTTCTCTGGCTTTAAGTTAGCTGCTATGCTAACGAGAGGCTACCTCGGAAGCTCTACTCACGTTCGCTCCCTCGATTTGTCCGTTCACTGTGAGAAGAAACACCGTCGGGTTGCTTGCAGCCATGGTGGCCACAGTTTTGAAAAACCTGAAATTTAAGTTGTGCTTTACCTCAAATTAAGTAACTTCAAAAAGAGTGTAGGAAAATCCTGGCTCTGTGCTACCACTTCCCGTTGCTAAGGCAACGTTTGCTCCTCCTGACGGCAACCGGAAAGGTCCACACTGAACGAAAAGCGCCGAAGCGAGGATGTGTTGACTTTGTCCACAAGGTGGCGGCAGTGTACCAAACCAAACCAAACGAGCCACACTCATCGCGCAAATGAAACTGAAGTGAATGCAACAGGGTGTACAGGTGTCTTTCATTATTTATTTATAAAAAAAAAAAAATACTTAGATATTGGACCTAAATGACCTTCAGTTCCCTGTGAGAGAGGTGCTGCAGCAGGTTTGGAAATGTCATGGTTGTTCTGTGTCTCATTCTGTCTCTGCCAGAGAAGAACATCATGGTCAATGAGGAGAAAACCAACCGATTACATGACGACTGCATCCACCAGAAGGTAAACTCTACATTGCATTTATTTTAATCACACGGCTGCTTTAAGTAAAAAAATAGTAATAATAAAAATAACAAACTTAGGCCTAGTTACAAAGTGCATTACTTCCATTTCATTAATCAGACTTGTGATGGGGAGTTCTGTTCTGCTCTTTTGGCTCCCTAAAAGCTTTTCATTTTTAACCTTCTTAATATTATAATTAATTCAAATTTAGCAATATTTGGACCTCTGGTTGTTATAGGTATGTAGGTCACTCACATAATTGTAAATATACTTGGTGCTTGAATGTCCAGAATACCATCATTGTACATTATGTTTGTTCAAATATCAGAAATGATTGGTTATGTGTATAAATCAATCACTCTCCCATTTTTTGCAAGATATCTATATGCAAACTTCTTCATCTTAAGTACATAAGTCCAAAAACATAAACTCTACAGAAAAACAGTTTTGAATAATTACACAACTCTACACGTGTGATTTAATTTGTTTGATATTCAAGAAAACAAAAAACTGCTTTGTTAAAACTTGTTTGAAGTCTAATGTCATACTTATTTCTTCTGTATTTTAAATTCCAGACTATATTTCAAAACTATTTTATGATGTCAACCAGTTCTTAATCCTGTTATTATTTGACCTACCTGCTAAAAGAAATGTCTCTTGGGTGTGATTCATCCCCAGGGTGGTGTTCCCTGACAATACATCACAAAATTAAACTGGATGTCAACTGTGCATCTCCACCCAAGGGAGTCAGTCAATCAACCTTTATTTGTATAGCTCCAATTCTTAACAAATGTTATCTCAAGACACTTTCCAAAAAGCATATCAAACACCTTACTCATTGTTAGAAAAGAGAGAGAGATGTCCACTGGCCATGGGATGAAAAACACTTAAATCATCAAAATATAATGTTAGAATGTCAAACACACCTTGCAAATGTCATTTTCCACCAATCAGGGTAATACCCAATACTACCAACCATTTTTATTATACACATAACCGGCATTAGCTGCCCTCCAAAGGCGCTTCAAAGTGTAAACGTGTTAATTTCTTCTGTAAAAACTGGCTTTTTTGAACGGGGTGTGTATGTGACTTCCTGGGCTCTTGGAGATAGCCTTAAGCAAACCCTCAACAAACTGCATGTCTTATACTTTGGGTTGTCTCGTACTCTTTTGCTGCCACTAGCATTGACTCGTAGTTCCCAAATTCTGATATTGAAATCGATATTGGAAAGGAATATTCCAATCAGGTAAAAGACCTTACTCTTTGTTATACTGTGTTACAAAAGAGCAGGTAAAAGCAAAGCTCCAAATTTAGCAAAATTACAGTAGCAAGGAAAAACTTCCATTGAACAGACAGAAACCTCGAGCAGAACCAGACTCGTGATGCTCAGCCATCTGCAGAAGACTGTGCTGGGCTTTAAAAATGGGACGGACGGAGAAATGCAATGAGATGTGGTTCTGTGTTTTAGAAGCACAAAGTAGGCGGCCGTTGTGTTAAGAAGTTTGTAATTCTAGGAGAGAACACAGCGAGTGGATTTCACTTTTTTCTCTGGCAAATACATTTTGTACGTCAACCGTGACCAAAGTATGGAATTACAGAACAAATGTTATAAATATTCAAGTTATTTACACCTCCTCTGGGACTCATTGTGAAGGACTTTTGGCTCAAGCTAGGATATAATTTGGGGTAATTATACGGCTACATCTCCATTTGCTGCCTTTGTTCAGATAATTAGCTACACTGTAGTTGTATCATAGCAAACGAACAGTTACTATCCAGTCTGTGACACACTTATAATTTCCCCTCTCTTTCTGTCAACCCCACTTGCCAAATAATGCCCTTTTTCTTTAGTCTATCTTTTTCCTGTCTATCCATATCCCTCCTTTTTCTTCTTCTGTCAGCATAAACTCTCATTCCCCTTAGCACTCAACAAAATTTGCCACTTCCAGCCTCACCCCCAGCCTACCCCTCCCTATCTTCATCTTCATCTCACCACTTTATTGGCCCTCCTTCTTCTACTCCTGCCAATTTATTTGTTTCTGTTTGTTTCCCCACCTCCTGCAATCTCTCCGTCCTGATTTCATTTTCAATCATCTCCATACGGCTTGCCAGAATCTACCATCACTATCCCCCCCCCCCAATGTCCTCCGACCATTTCCCCCACCTTGACTCCTCCACATTCCTTCAGTAATCTTCTTAGAGCTGGTCTCCTCACTCACCTTTTCTGTCTTATCCTCCGTCTGCCCCCCTGCCCCCCTTTTTGTCCTCTTTTCTGTCCCCTTTTGTTTCTCCTCAGTCTCTTTAGTCATCTGTCTCATTCTCAAACTCCTGATTAACAATCAGACAGCTTCACAATTGGCGACCCCTTTATACTCACCGTGCAGTAACCCGTTGATCGATGTCAGCTGGCCTTTTGGTTGTCTCTTACTCTTTTGCTGCTACTAGCATTAACTCATCTCGATTTTGAGCGTACTGATGTTTTATAGGCTGGGACAAAATTCCCAAATTCTGGTATTGCAAAGGGAAAATAGATTCAGAACTAAAATATATACACTTTGTGTTTCTACTTTAAATGCCTATTCCATTCTATTTTTGTCGCAGAGCTCATGATAATCTCACATCTGGAGGCTGCAGCAGCATCTTGGAGATAATGTCCCTCTGATGTGCCCTCCTCAAGTATCCTCCAGGTGAGCGTAAACCGTTCAAAACCGGGATCAAAAAAAAGAAGAGAAAGTGGAGTATATTGAGAAGAATCACTTTCCTATTTTAGCTTAAACACACACAGTCACCGTACAGCCTCGGCTTACTAACAAACTGTCACAAAATATTATGTATGACAAGCGTGATCCAGTGAGTCATGTTTATCTCATTTTCAACTGGCTGCACACACAAAATAGGCTCTGAGAAGTGAGACATGCTGATGGGGGTTCATGTTTCAAACTGTGAGAGTAATGATCCGTGACCACCGGTTCATAGATTTTGCTCCTAAGAGAAAGCCCCCGACACTTAACCTGCCGCCCAAACGCTATGCGGAAGAAGAGAATATAAATGTGTGCGGGGAGTCTGAGAGGAAGAGGTAACTAAGCGTGTCTTATGACCAAAAAATGACATTGAGGACGGGGAAGAGGTGTGAAAGGAATTGATGAAGTTAGGGGGAGAGTGAGGCTATTTGTCAACCAGTAAAGAGACAGAAACAGAAACAGACGGAGAATTTGATAATTATTTACGGACCCTGACCTGCCATTGACCACACAGGTATTTTCACTGATGGTGCAAATTAGATCTCTTGGAAAAACTCTAGAACAAATGAGAGTGAAGAGGTGGGCTAATATAAGTAATATTTCTTGAGCATTTTATCCCTCGCTCTATTCAGACTGCTGTTTCAAGCCGTGGTATTTAGGCCGCTGTGACGTTTAGCCTTCAATCTGAATGTTGCAGAGGTGTAATAGGGCGCCACAGGAATGAGTCCTTAAACCCGGAAGTAAGTTAGCATTTGAGCGCCATGGGTCTATCCTCTCAAAGTCAATGGGAGTTATGAATGGGCTTGTGGTTTGACCCCTGAAATAAGGTCTGTGGTTAACTGAAGCGTTATTCGTAGACTTGTTATTATTTCACAACATCCTGATTGTTTAACCGCGGAAAAACAACTAACTCATCAGCTATAGATTAGACAATTGCTAATTCTAGCATTTAACCGTTTCCAAGCTAACTTTAATGTTAGCTAGAAATTCTGACCTTTCCTATCATGCCACCTTTTGCTCACGAATGATACTGTTAGCATCAGCCCCATCAGCTAGTCAACGGTTACAGGAGGCTACTGAATGCTAGCACTAGCTGGTGACTGACAGTAGCTTGTCAGGCAGTAGTATTTAGTTTGACTCGGTGAGAAAGTAAAAAAAAAATCCTTTCAACTCTGACAAAAACGTAGGTGAAAAACGTGACCTACCTGTGTGAAGTTCATGTAACCGTTAGCGCTGCTGCTGCTACCTTTATGTCAGCTATAGCTAACTAACACAAGTAGAGTTTTGTTTAGTGTGTCGCATGATAAACTTCTAAACTTTCCAGTTGCTTGATACATTTCTAAATGGGTTTCTGAAAGTCCATTTAAAAGCTATCATGACATTGTGGCTTGAGTGTTCTGTTCCTCGGATAGAAAAATTCTTTTATTGTGCGTAAACAGGAAATCCATCTTAAGTCATCGTGGAGTTGTGGGTGGACAAAAAGCTCTCTTTATAATGTTCTTCTATGCGCTGCTTTGCCACTAACTCAATATGCAATTAGTTTAGAGTAAAATCAGCTGTCAAGGGAGCGGCCCCTCCTCTGCTGGTGAAAGAGGCACCTTAATTTCCAGGAAACATCAACCTCATGTCTCTTCCTATGAGTTCCAGTTCTGCCCGCAGGCAACCACACTGCTCTGTAACCTCTACTGTCCTTCACTGGAGAGGAGACAAGGGGAGATGAGGGGAGGGGGAGGGAACAAGGAGGTGGAATGGGAGAGTTAGAGGGCAAAAACGGAGGAAGGCATTGGTTTTTTTAAAGTAAGATGAGCAGTGGAGGATGAGCAGATGCTGATAAGATCCAGAATTCAGAAGGGAGGCCTTCTAGGTATTCCTCGCTTGAGTTAGTCTTTAAGGTCAGAC